TGAGTCATGCAGCTGCCAAATGACCCTGAATCACTGTCACCGTCATTGTCATAATAAACAATACAACTCTTTTTTCCCTTTCTTGTTTCGAGACTGGAGCTCACTGTGTAGCCCAAGCTGGCCTTCAACTCCAGAAGCTCCTGCCGTAGCCTCCTGAGTGCTAGGGTGCTGGCAATGCAGCCCAGCTGCCCAGCTGTAGGTCCCGCCACCACCACTACCTACACATGAGCACGCGTCTGCCCTGAAGGGCTCACTACAACATTCCAGCTGCAAAAGAGGAGAAAGCCAAGAAAGGGGCTGGTCTGGGCATGAAAACTTTTCCCCAGTTTTCACTCATCTTAAGACTCTTTTTCCCAAGAGGCTGGGCCAAGGGAGAGAAGAGAAGGAACAGTCTAGGGAAAAGGGCAGAACTATTTTCCCTAATACTTTCAAACAGGCCAGAGTTTCTATGTCTGCACCTCCAGCACTCTTAGAAAAGAGGCGATCCTACCTGGGGGCCGATGGCTCACGTCCATAATCCTAGCTTCTCAAGAGGCTGAGATTTGGAGGATCACAATTGGAAGCCAATCCAGCCAGAAAAAGCCATGAGACTCTATTTCCAAAAGATAACCAGCAAAAAGCCAGGCTGGGAGTGTGGCTCAAGAATTAGAGCACCGGCTAACCGTGTGAGGCCCTGAATCCAAGCCACAACAAGAAACAGAAAAGAAAGAAGATGATTTTTTAATATGGTGTAGAGATATTATTGCACTGGGATTATCAGGGCTTAGTGGCGTACCCAGCTTAAAGACAATTTGTTCTCTTATCTTTGCCTCCCTACTCTGTCCACAGTGGCTGAGTTTCAAAAGTCAAATTTCAGGGATACTGACTTGTGGAGCACATGGGCAGCAAAGATGGCGCTGGGAGGGGATTGAGTGGGCAGAGCCTAATTTACTGTAGAGCACATGGCCAGCCAAGATGGCACTGGGAGAGAGTAGAGTGGGCAGACCCCAATTGATCTGCCGATCAAGGCCTAACCAGCCCCTGAAGGCTCAGGTGAATGATAGGGTGTGATCTTGACAGTGATTGGTTCCTCTTCCTCCCTTACCATGCCACCCACCCTTTTTGTCTTTAAAAGGGGCTGCTCTCTGTTAATAAAAGAGTTTTTCTACCTGCTGGATTTGGCTCCTCGCTGTGTCTGATTGTCTCCTGGGCTGAGGGAGGCTAGGGAACGGGCCAGCGCCGCACTTACCTTTCCTCGGACCCCGTCCGTCTTTTGTGGGACGGACGAAGACCCAACACTGACTGAGCCCAGATCTCAGATATTCTTCCATATCTAGGAATTATCCCATCCCTCCCACTTTTTTATGCCCCACTTATTTTGTGGTGCAGGGAATCAAATTGGGGCCTTGCATGTGCTGTACATCTGCTGCTCAGCCACTTTCTATCCTTTGTTCCTTGCGGAGGGGTTTTTTGTGTTGTTTTGGGTTTTTTTGCTTATCCTGGGGCTAGAACTCAGCCTAGGTGCTGTCTCATAGCTTCTTTTGCTCAAGACGAGCCCCTTCTGGCTTTTTTGAGTAGTTTATTGGAGATAAGAGTCTCTTGGAGTTTCCCTCCTTCCTGGGCTCCTCAGATCTCAGCCTCTTGAGTAGCTAGATTACAGGTGTGAGCCACTGGCGCCTGGCATCTTGTTCATTTTCAGACAGTCTCACTATGTAGCTTCCTAGAGTTCTGGCCTTGAACTGCATCATTCTGCCTCTGTTTCCTGAGTGCTAGAACCCCTGGTGTATACCACCATGCCCAGCAACCCCAACTAATCATCAAAATAGATCTAAACTGGGGTGCTGGTGGCTCACACCTGCAATCCTAGCTACTCAGGAGGCTGAGATCTGAGGGTCACCATTCTAAACCAGGCCAAGCAGGAAAGTCTATGAGATTTTTTTGTCTCTCCAAAGTACTTTTATTTTAAAAAGTTACAATAATAACCACACTAAAGCTACCAGCACGACTATGTTTATTGCAGCACTATTTACTATAGCTAAGATATGGAACCAACCCAGATGCCCCTCAGTAGATGAATGGATCAAGAAAATGTGGCATATATACACAATGGAATTCTATGCCTCCATCAGAAAGAATGACATTGCCCCATTTGTTAGGGAATGGAAAGACTTGGAAAAAATTATATTAAGTGAAGTAAGCCAGGCCCAAAGAAACATAGGTCCCATGGTTTCCCTTATTTGCAATATCTAGTATATGTCTGAGTCAAGCAGAAAAGGTCAGATAAGGTGATGTTAGGGAAATGAGCCTTAAGATATCTATTCAAATGGTTTTTTTTCTTTCATGTGATTGTTTCTAACACATTTATAAGATTATTTCTTTGTTGCTTTGTATGTCCCTCCCCCACAGTATAACCCCTGCTTTCACTATATTTGATGTCGGTATAATTTGTGGAGGGGAAGGGGGAAAAATCATTTAAATAGGGATACAGGTGGACACATTGCAACAATGAGATGTACAAGTCATTATGTCAAAAACGAACTTTACAACTTTGGTGCGGAGGGGAGGGGGAAGCGGGGAGGATTGGGTGGGGGGGGCGCGGGAAGGATGGGAAGGGATGGGAAGGGGAAACAAAGGAGGAGGCTACAATGCTTGATAAGAAATGTACTCATTATCTTGCCCATGTAATTGTAACCCCTCTGTACAGTATTTTCACAATAAAAAAATGTTAAAGAAAAACTGAGGAATGGGAAAAAATTAACAATAATAAAAAAAATCCCCAAACCCACAAACCCTGCCTTTCTTAAATATAATGTGGTTTGCATCCATTACTGCACATGGGCCAACCTGGTTATGAATCAGGCTGCTGGAACTGGGGTTCTACCAAGGAAATGGGGGTCAGCCTGGGAGGAAGGTGTTGGGGGAGACCAATCTCTCCTCTTCCCTCAGAACAGCCTGGCTGCGCAGTGCTGTCGCTCTTGGACTGGCCGTTTCCTCTTTCCTGAGGCCCCTTGTGTAATCAAGGGGGGAGTAGGAGGTAGACATGGACAAAGTGTGGTCATGAGATGGCAGACTCCAAACAACAGAGTCTCATTAAGGCGTCTGGAGCAAATAAATTAATTCAGGAAGAGCCGCCTTCATAGAAGGCTGCGGTAAACGCACATACACACGTGCAGGACAGTCTAGACACACACATACACATAAAGTCATATCCAGGGACCCAGCCCACCAAGGCTGTCTGGAGGAAGGCTTGTGGATGGGTTTTAGGACCCCAGAATGATTTCCATCATGTGGTCTAAGAGCTCATTGTACTTCCAGGACCCAGGGGCACTGAAGGGGTTGTGTGAAGATTGTGGGGCAGCCAGTGCAGATTCCTGTTCCACTCCAGATGTGTCAATGTCCAGGCCAGAGTTCCCCAGGTACCTAGAGCTCAAAGCTTCTAAGAAGATTGGCCCAGGCTGGGCCAGCCCTTCATTCTGAAGGCCTGGGGCAGCCACTGGAATCTAAGGCGATTCAGTCTCCAGCTCCCTGAGGATGGAGCCAATGATGGTGGAAAGGGAGAGATCTTCTTCACCCAGAAAGAGGGGCTCAGGGGGTAGGGCCGGAGCTGGGGACAGATGAATGGCAGCCTGGAGCTATTGCAGGGTATTGTGGATGAGGACATGCCTACGGAGGCTGGGAGCTCGGGGACCCAGGCATTGCTGGACTTTGTCTGAGGAGATTAGGAGCAAGGCCTGGTGGTAGCTCTGAAGGCAGGCCAGACTGCAGTCCCACTTCTTTTCCTCCTCTTCCTCATCTAAGTCCAAGTGTTTCCTCTTCAAGCCTCCCACCATGATGCCCAGAGCCTCCAGATTCACAACCACCACCTTCAGGGATGCTTGCCAGATGTGCGTCCCAACAGAGCAGAATAGAATCCTCGCTCCGTCTGACCTCCTACCCATGGGGTGCTGAGCACCTCTGCAGAGGCAGATATAATCCCAGAATATGCTGGAATGTGGAAACAGCAAACCTTCCACCCAGAACAGACAAACTAGCTTCCTCCTCCTCACAGTGAGCATTTGGTTCTACAGTAGGACCTGTGACTAAGAGTGATTGATAAGGAAACTGGTTTGCTCTAGGGTTGACAATGCAGAGTTGTGCAGGAAGATGTATCACTTGAGTTTTGCGACTGGTGCAGAAAGGGGGCACCCATGGTTTTGCCCAGATTGGCAATGTTCTTGCAGCTGACTCACACTCCAGCTAGGAGCACCCCAGATTCTGCTTCCGATCCTAGGTTTCAACCCTAAGCTAGATTTTCTATTCTATTTTATTCTATTTTCTATTCTATCCTATTCATTCTGTTTGCCATAGGGTTCTCTCTCTCTCTTTTTTGATGTATGTGCAGGTGCTGGGGCTTGAACTTGGGGCCTTGTGCTCTCACTTACTTGGCTTTCTTGGCTCAGGACTGGCAAGGCTACCACTCGAGCCACGCCTCCAGCTCAGCATGTTGCTGGTTTATTGGAGATAGAGCCTCGCTCTCTTGACTCTTCTGCTCAGTCTGGCTTTGAATAGATCTGAGGATCCTCAGATCTCAGCCTCCTGAGTCGCCTGGACTACAGGCGTGAGCCACCCGCACCAGAAACCTGGCAAGAGGGCCTACGGCTCTGCTTACTTCAGATACAAGCCAGCCCGTCGGCATAAAGCGTGCCTTTAGTTTTGTGTTTCGAGATAGGGCCTCACTGTGGCCCAAGCTGGCCTCAAACTCGCAACCCTTCTGCACCAGCCTTCAGAGTGCCGGGACGGCCGGCGTGCACCAGCCTCCAGGCTCCCGGGCCCGTGCAGGTGTGCAAGCCGGAGCTGAGCGCCGGGGCGGTCCTCCGCGGCGGCGGGGCGGGCGGGACCTGGCGAAGGGGCGGGGCTCCGGAGCTCCCATCCAATTCCGGGGCCGTCCTCCGCGGTATGGTGGGCGGGGCCTAGTGAGGGGCGTGGCCCCGGAGCTCCTGTCCAATCCCGAGGCCCGGAGCGGGGTAAGGGGAGAGCTGAGCCGCGGGAGCCCGCCAGTCACCCAGCCATCCGCCGCAGCTTCTCCGGCTACCTGCTCGACCCCGAGGCCTAGGGCATCATGGCCTTCGCCGGCCTGCGCAAGGTGCTCATCAGCGACAGCCTGGACCCGTGCTGCCGGCGGATCCTGCAGGACGGGGGGCTGCAGGTGGTGGAGAGACCGAACCTGAGCCGGGACGAGCTCATCGCCGAGCTGCGGGTGAGCCGCGGGCGCGGGGACCCCCGGCGCATCTCCCGCCGGGCCGGGTCGGGCCGCGCCGGGCCCCGCAGGGCCTCCCGCGCGATCGGTCGGCCGAGCAGCGGCGGCGGCGGGGCCGGGACGGAGAGGCGGAGGACGCAGGCGCCGCGGGATGGAAACTTTCTGCCCAGTTTGCAGCCGCGTGTTTCCGGCCGCCCCCGCAGACGCGCGTGCAGGCGGGGGGCCCGGCGGCGGAGATCCCCCCATCCCCCCTCCCTCTACCCCCCCTCCCCCTCCCTATCCTTCCCCTCCTCCCCTTCCCCATCCTTCTCCTCCTCCCCTCGCTCTTCCCCTTCCCCTCCCATCCCTCATCCCCTCTCCCTCTCCAACTCCTCCCCTCTTCACCCCCTCATTCCCTTCCTCTGCATCCCCGCTCCCATCCCCTCCCCCTCCCATGCCCTCACCCTTCCTCTCCTATCCCCTCCCCCTACTTAGTTCCTTTCCCTCTCCTCCCCCGCCCCACCCTGGGGTGCCCCCCCCACGAGCCCCGCACCAGGATCCCCTCCCAGAGCTAGGGCTCGCCCACCTGGCCCTGTCTGGCTCTCCGGCCGCGGCGGGCCGGGCAGCAGGGGAAGGCGGCCCAAGCACCGCCTCACGTCTGATGCAAGACCTCCGACGGCTCCCGGCGCCCCTGGGCCTCCGGGAGCCGCGCGGCCCGGGCCCCTCCGGGGTGAGAGGCCGCTCCCCTGCGCTCCACTCCGGGCCCGCTTCGGCCCCTGCAGTCCCCGCCCCCCAGCGCCCCCACACCCCACGTGCGCGCCCCTTCTGCCCTCCTCCACGTGGCCCCTCCACCGGCCTGGCCCAGCTGCACCCCGGGAAACTGTTGGAGCCCCGCCTGCCTGTGCTCCCAGCCCCCGGCCCGGTGACTGCCCTCCCCAGTGCCAGTGTTCTAGAAGCTCTTGAGAGGCCAGGATGGGTGGTCGTGCCTGGATCCCAGCACCTCCCGAGAGGCCAGGGTGGGTGGTCATGCCTGGATCCCAGCACCCCGCAAGCTGAGACAGCAGGATGGAGATGGCCAGGGTGGCCTGGCTGGTAGAGACAGATGGCTGTCTGCCCTGTCTCAAAGGGGGCGCAGGATGAGGTTACTAAGGAACCACTGCAGACAGCTTGAGACAATGGATCCGGTGACAGGGCACACTGAACAGGACTTAAAAGTGCCAGCCCCTGCCCACTCCCTACTGCAAAGTCCTGGGTGAATTTCGGGGGCAGAGACTCAGCACCCCACCTTAGAAGGGCAGTAGGATTAGGCTGGTCAGTCTCAGGGCCCTTGGCCAGGTGCCAGCCACTCCCCCTGGCTTGCCTCCAGTGGAGGGGAGACATCCCTGTGAATGGGCAGCCATCTGGAGTGAGGGATTCCCAACAGAAGGGGGGGTAGAAATCTGTGTGAAAACTGGAGACTTTGAAGGCTTTGAAAGCCCTTGGCAAGACTGGACGGGTGTTTGCTGGCGAACTTGACCACCGGCCATTGTTGGGCCATTTGAGTGCTCAGCTGCATTCTGTGTGCCTGCCCAGAATGCCAATTAGTCTCCCTGGGCAGCCTGCTAAAGGGCCTTGTCTCTATGCTCACTCTGTCCCTCTGTCCCTCAGGCGTCTGGTCTGGCGTTGTCACCTGACCCCCACACCTCTTGGACTAATGTGGTTTTCCCGTGTCCTCTTCTGGTCAGATGTTCCTTAGTGGTCATCTGCCCTTCCCACAGACTTGACTGAAGTTATATAGTTCATTAGTGGAGTGAAAGTGGTTACATTAGTCATGATCTGCATCAGGTGTGTGTGTGTGTGTGTGTGTGTGTGTGTGTGTGTGTTGGTACTGGGGCTTGAACTCAGGGCCTCATGCTCTCACTAGGCTTTTTCACTCAAGGCTGGCACTCTACCACTTAAACCACACCTCCACACCCAGCTTTTTGCTGGTTAAGTGGAGAAAAGAGTCTGAATTCATCCACTCAGGCTGGCTTCAAACTGATCTTTAGATCTCAGCCCCCTGAGTAGCTAGGATTACAAGCATGAGCCCCTGGCATCCAGCATTTTAAAGAGCAAAATAGTCAATAATCAGAATTACTGATAGTAAGTCTAAGTATTATTTTATTTGGTTTCAGTTGTGTGTGTGTGTGTGTTTTTGTGTGTTTGAGTATAAAGTCATAACTTAAAGATTTCTTTACCTAGGCACTGGTGGCTCACACCTGTAATCTTAGCTACTCAGTAGGCTGAGATCTGAGTATCAGAGTTTGAAGCCAATCTGGGCAGAGAAGTCCTTAAGACTCTTATCTCCAATGAACCAGCAAAAAGCCAGAAGTGGCTCAAGTGAGTGACAAAGCACCAGCCTTGGGTGCAAAAGCTGAGGGAGAGAGGGAGTCCCTGAGCTCAGGCCCCAGTGCACACACATGCACACTTGCACGCACACACAGAAGAAACCTTAAACGGGGAATAATTCCTTTCATGCAAGAGCCCAAAGGCTCTAAATTAGCAAATTCCCAGGCTCTACACTTGAATTTAGTCAGCACACATTAAGTAGCCACTCTGCTAATCAGGATCAGAGAACTCTGTTTTCTGTAGTTCCCTGTCTCCAGGGATCCTGACCTGGAACGCTTCGTTGACTTGTCCTGTGATTTAATCCAGGAAGGAGCAATAGCAAAGTCTGCCCACAATGCCAAGCCCTTGGGAAAAAAGCATGTGTGAACTTGAGGAACACGAGTAGGTTCCCACTGCTGAGTTAGCAGTTTGTCTGGAACAGCCATAAATCAGGCCATCGGTGGCCTGCTGTTTGCCAGCTCCAAGGCAGCTGGGAAGACCAGGAGCGGGGAAGCTGATCCAGAAGCCTGGGGCGGGCCAGTGCGGCTCCAGCTCCCACACAGAAACCGCAGGCTGAGAGTGTAAGGCCCAGCCTCAGGAGTGTCCCAAAGAGGACAACGGCAGAGGAGCGGGGCCAGAAGGGAGCATTTGAATGATCACCTTGTTTGTGTAAGTAGAGGAGGGGAGGCTGTGGTCCCTAGCCGTTCTCTGAGGGTGATTTGTGCTCCCCATCCCTTCCTTCTCCCCCTCCCCCCCCACCTTGACAGGGATGTCATCTAGAGCTGCTGCCTTTGGGAGGTAGTTGAGAACTTGGATTGGGACAACAGAAGTTTTAGACTTGGTCTCAAGTTACCTAAATTCTTTTTGTCTGAGCTGGGCACAAGTGGCTCACACCTGTAACCCTAGCTACTCAGAAGGTTGAGATCTGAGGATCAGAGTCCAAAGCCAGCCCCTTGAAGACAGACCAGAGATTGTTAGTTAAGCAGCAAGAAGCAGGAAATGGAGGAGTGACGCAAGTGGTAGAGCAGTGTCCTTGAGCAAAAAGGCTCAGGGACAATACCTAGTCCCTGAGTTCAAGTCCTAGGACTGGCTCCAAAAAAAAAAAAAATACAGCTATAGAAAGCTTTCAAATACAAAATCCTCACTATGAATGTGAAGTAGAGGTAAAGAGACCCAAGTAGATGCAGGAGAGAGAACTCAATGTCAACACCAGTGGTCAGAGCAAAACACAGGCTTAGAGTAGCCACCTTGTCCGGGATTATTGGCAGACTCAGTAGAGTGTGTCGGGGAGGAGAGGTGGAGGAGTCCTTTTATTGGGAGTCAGTATGGCAGGCTTGTGTGGGCTGCAGAAGTGTCCCAGTACTCAGCCAGGGCATTCAATGCCACGTTGTATATATGGCTGAACTCCTTCCTAATCTGAATTGTTTCTTGGGGCTGGGAAGGTGGCTCAGTGGTAGATTGCTTACCTAATATGCATGATGCGCCCCGGATTCCTCATTACCACATACACAGAAAAAGCCGGAAGTGGCGCTGTGGCTCAAGTGGGAAGCTCAGGGACAGTGCTCAGGCCCTGAGTTCAAGACCCAAGACTAGCAAAAAAAAAAAAAAAAAGAATCTGAACTGTTTCTTACTATTGTTTACTTGTCCTGGCTTAATGCCAGATTCATGCCAGGGTCCTGGATACCCAAGGACCCGAGGAAGGGAGAAGAATCCAGGCAGCAGTGATGCATGCCTGTAATTCCAGCTACTTAGGAGACTGAAATCTGGAGGATCATTGTTTGAAGCCAGCCTGGGCAGAAAAGTCTGAAGAGACTCCATCTCCAAAATAACCACCCAAGCAAGCAAGCTGAGCAGGCACAAAGCCCCGAGTTCACATTCCTATACTAAAAAAGAAAAAAAATGCAGAAAGAAAAGGACAGGACAGGCAGGAGGAAGGAAGTGTTTACTGGGCTTGGAACAGCCTCGGTTCCTTGAGCCTTGGTGTTGTGGTACGGTCGGCAGACTGCTTGTCTTTGCAGTGACCAGTAGGGCACCGTCTATCGGCTCGCGCTGCCCCAGCCCGTGAAGGATACATGCAGCTCGGGAGCTCTAGAGAAGTACTTCTGCACGAGCTCGTGTCCGGTCACTCCAGTTGTTCCGAGTTCTGGAGACGTAGCTATGCAGTGCTGAAGCTCAGTCTTTATCCATTTTCTCTCCACAGTGGAGAATATCACTATCAGTTCTTTCTGCTTCCATTTGTCTATACTTGTAGACTCGAGGCTTGTGCTCAAGAAATGCAGCACGTGACCGGCCCTAGGTGTGGGTTCTTGAGGTTCTTTATGTCTGGAATCCATGTGGCAGAGAGGGAAGAAGGGAAGTAGAGATTGGAATGGGATGACTTGCTGAGAAAACCACCCCGTAGCCGGCAGACTTCGGACCAAAACTCATCTCCTGAGCCCTGGCTCAGTGCTCTTGTTGGTTTATTGTTATAGTTAGTGGTAGTGGTTCTGAGCTAGTAAGTCCTCCTGCTTCAAGATTATAGGCATGCCCTCCAGACCTCAGCCACACCTGGCTGCTCAGCATCCCTGGGAGTGTTTCTCTGCCAGTGTGAGAGCACTACTTATAACCACGCGCACACACGTTTACCTCGTGGAGCTTCTCATTTGGTGTCTGGACAAATGTTGCCCTTATTCTGTGAAGATAACCACATTCCACAGGATTCCGAGGGAGATTTGGTCCCAGTAGGGTGGCTGTGATAGATTGAAGCTTAGGTTTCACCCTAATCTTGCTGGGGCTCTTGCTGAGCAACTACAGGTGAACTTCCTTGCTCTGGGGATCTTCCCCTCGGGTCCTGTTCTGTCTCTTGTTTCAGGAATGTTTTGCTTTCTACAGGTCTACCTTTTACTCCCTCGTTGTCTCGTTCAGCCATCCAGCATGTATGGAGTACTTTCCATGGCATAGACACAGAGGCTTGCAAGTGAAGGTCGTTTGTACCCGACCTGTGCCTTCCCGTGGCTATGGGTCCAGTGTGGAAAATGATGGTCGCTGAGCCAAGCTAGGGGATGAACCCTTCCTGCCTCATTTGCTCCTCAGACTCATCTCTGAGAACGAATGAGGCTGGCCTAGGGGTAGAGCCTTCCAGATGTGTGATTCTTTCTTTGACTGTATCTAAAGTGGACCTACATACAGGTTGAATCCACTTTAGCCAAACAATGTATAGAATGTCAGGGTTTCCAAAACTGACCCGGAAGTACTTCAGCACAGGTCAGGACACACTAGGACCTTCCTGGGATAGGCCCTGGCTACAGGCATTTGTGATATTGTCTAGATCTAGAAAGACAGGAGCTCAGAGCCTGTGGGTTGAGGTGGTCACTGTTGAACGTGAATACTTGGTGGTTGGTTTGTGTGTGTGTGCCAGAACTTGGGCTCCAACCCACAGCTTCACGGTCTCATTTGACTCAAGGCTGGTGCTCTACCACTTGAGCCACACCCCTATTTCCAGCTTTTTTTCTTGCTCATTGGAGGTAAAAGTCTCATATTTGTCTGTTCCGGTTGGTTTTGAACCGTGATCCTCAGATATCAGCCTCCTGGGTAGCTAGGATTACAGGCATGACCACCAGCACCCAGCTTCTACTTGATGTTTTAGAGCCACAGACTTCTCAACTTGAAGCAGATTTGGGCATGAGCCCAAGTCCCTCTGTCCTCCTGTGGGCAGACAAGATGCCAACGCCACCTCTGTGTGAGTGGGCAATCCTCCCCAGCCTGACAGGGTGCCAGGTACCAGCCAGGGGTAAGTGGCAGCTGGAAGCCTGGCAGAACTACTTGAGTGACTGGAGTATTCCGTCTCCCAGGACTGCGAAGGCCTTATCGTCCGCTCAGCCACCAAAGTCACCGCCGACATCATCAATGCAGCCGAGAAGCTCCAGGTGGTGGGCAGAGCTGGCACGGGCGTGGACAACGTGGATCTGGAGGCCGCCACGAGGAAGGGCATTCTGGTCATGAAGTGAGTAGTAGAGGCTGAGGGTGGCCGCAGAGACCAGGTAGGATCACCAGCATTTAGAAGAAGGCAGAGCGTAGTGTAGAGAAGGCTGGGGCTGAGTCAGAAGGACATGCAGAAGGAAGTCTGGCCCGGCCCAGCTCGACCCGACCCGACCCGACCCGACCTGACCCGATCAAGCTCAGCACTGGCAGCCTTGCAAGACTGAGACTGTCCATACAATGTCAGATTGTTTCAGGGTCCAGCATCAGCATTGTTCACGTGGGCAACCTTGGTTAGGAATGGGTTAGCAGGCTGTTTAGTGCCTTCTCTGCTCCTGCTTGACCTCGACTCTGTCATTTTCTTCTCTCTTTTGTTGTGAGCCCCTGTTAGAACTTGAACTCAAGCCTTTGGTTTCTCCCTGAGCTCTTTCACTCAAAGCTGGCTCTCTACTACTTGAGCCACAGCTCCACTTTTGACACACTTTTGTGTGTCAAAGACAAGACTCTCTCATCTTCTAACTATGATCCTAAGATCTCGGCCTCCTGAGTAGCTAAGATTACAGATGTGAGCCACTGGTGCCCAACTGTGGTGGTTTTTGTGAGCATGCTATCTCTTGTGTAGCTTGACCTTGTTCACATCCACAAAGGAGTGACTCTCCTTCCCCTCTTCCCCACTTTCCTACACTCTTGAGGAGCTAAGACTCCAGCTTCTGTTTTAGCCCTCTGGGCCCTAGAAGAGAAGCAATCTGTGAGCTGTTTTTGTAGAAACTCAGGGGCAAAGGTCAGTGCTGTGCACACCAATGTGTAGGTTAGGAGTTTCCGGGTTGTGTTGAGCCCACCCCTGGCCTCTTCTCCCATCCAGAGTCCTTTCTCTGCCCACCCCCCTCCCCCAGGGACTTTAGTGTGCATAAGACCTCTGCCCTCTCCTGCTCTCCACCTCCCAATGATCCTGACAGACCACTGACGTGAGTCCTTAACCTAGGGTCAGCATCTGTTGGCAGAGATGTTAAAGTATAACTCATCTAAGGCAGCTCACTTGAGCATGGAAAGCCCAGTGGTTTGGAAGAGACTCTGGAGTCTTCTGTTGTATAGATCACAACCTTTCCTCCTTAGAACCTTCTCCTGAGATGAAGAGACCCAGTAGGAGATGAAGGAGACACAACCAGAGAGTTACTTTTTTTCCCCCCCAAACATAAATAGCCAAGCCAGATATTGCACTCCTGTAATCATAGCTACTCAGGAGGCTGCGATCTGAGGATTACAGTTAAAGCCAGCCCAGACAGAAAGTCCATGAGACTCTTATCTGCAATTAACTAGGAAAACAAACAAGAAATGGAGGTGTGGACAGCACCAGCCTTGAGTGAAAAAGCCAAGGGACAGTGCCCAGGCCCTGAGTTCAAGCCCCAGGGGATTCTTACAGCCCCCAAAAAATGCTACTAAGAAGGCACCATGTGTTCAAGGGTCAGTTTGCCTTCCACACAAGATGCTTCTCTGAACCTTCTCTTTCTTTCTGGAACAAGAGGATAGCAAAGAGACTACAGCAGAACAGCTCAGATCACAGGGCCCTGCCGCAAAGCTGGGAGGCTTCATTCAGAGTTCACAGTGCCCAGCAGAAGCGTGTTCTAAGTGGCCTCGTCCAGACTGACCGCCCCCCCTTCTCTGCCCATCCAGCACCCCGAACGGGAACAGCCTGAGTGCTGCGGAGCTCACGTGCGGGATGATCATGTGCCTGGCCAGGTGAGTCTCAGGCTGTGCAGCAGCACACCTGGTTAGCTGGGGTTTCCGAGCAAGCACGTTGACCCAGACAGAGGAAGTGGAAACGGTTCAGCCTGGTGCCGCCCAGACTCTTGACAGCCCGTGAGCCCTCAGCTCTTGAGACAGAGAGGTTTGGTTGTCTCAGGTCACCAGCCAGGGCCTGCCAGGCATGGGCGGGCGGTCCGTGCTCCTGGGCTTTCCCTGGGTGCGTGCTTGTGAAGAGACTGCACCCTGCGGCCTCCCCCTTCCATTCTTGCTCCAGTCTGCTTTGCATCCCCCAACCTCTGCACATTTGTCCTGCCATCTTTTTTTTAAGCATTTAAGCACTTTTAAGCATGTTCAGCTTCATCTCAAGTGTTACGTCATCCAAGGGGGCTCTGCCGAGTGTCAGTGATTCACACCTGTCATCCTAGCTCCTCAGGAGGCTGAGATCTGAGGATCACAGTCGGAAGCCAGCCTTGGGCAGGAAAATCCAGGAAACTCTTTATCTCCGACTCACCAGCAAAAGTGGAGCTGTGGCTCAAGTGGCAGAGCACCAGCCTTGAGCATAAAAGCTCAGGGACAGTGCTCAGGCCCTAAGTTCAAGACCCAGTAGTAGCATACACACAAGAGTCCCTAAGCCCTGTTCATTTACCTCTACAATGCCTAGAGGCTCGGCCACCCCTGGTCTCACAGATAATGGCCAGGGTAGCTTCCCATAGCACCTCCTCCCGTGCTCCAGGGCGGGAGACCTGGGAAGTCTCTTTGGTGTTTCTGGATCTGAGCACCTGGAAGCAAAGATTCTCAGGAATCTGACCATGGTGGTGGTGATTGTGATGACCTGTCATTGTCCCTCTGTCCCGTACTGGGGTGGGGGGTGAGGGACGCTAGGTGGCCCTGCTGAACCTGTGTATCATTGCAGGCAGATTCCCCAGGCGACAGCGTCCATGAAGGATGGCAAATGGGACCGGAAGAAGGTGTGCACAGTGGCCTTGGTCCCTCTCCCCACCAACCCCGCTCTCCCCCCCACCTCCCTGCCCCCCTGCCCCCAGTGGCCTGAGTGCTGCCTCTCGTGCTGACTCGGCTTCTTTGCTTTTTTCTTTGTTTGGTTAACAGTTTATGGGAACAGAGCTGAATGGAAAAACTCTGGGGATTCTTGGCCTGGGCAGGATCGGGAGAGAGGTGGCCACCCGGATGCAATCCTTTGGGATGAAGGTAAGAGGTGACTGATTGGACCCTTCTTGGTGGGTAGGGAGGGTTCTGAATCGATCGCTGGGCTTAGGAGAAGCCAAAGGCCTGGTCCGGGCTGGGCTGTTATAGTGATTCGAGCACCTGATGAAACAGTGAGGTACCAGCGAGGCCGTGGCGCAATCATGGCGGGACGCTTGGAATACTGCATGGAAACTTTTCGGCTCTTGGCAACCCATGGGCCTGAACCCCGGTGACGCAAAGGGCGCTTGTATCCGACTCATCTTTTCCCTGTTTCTATACCAGGGCCCTCTGGCTTGGCTGAGTCTGCTCTTCCAGGATGATTTAGGAAGCAGCGGCAGATTAACCGCCTAGAAATGGAGTGATTATCCTCCTGTCCCTTCTGTGTGCCTCTGTCTTCTAGAGGGGATGCAGAGGTGCTTGTGGTCACCTGATAGGATTGTAGAGCCCAGGGGGGTGGGAAGACCTCACACCTGTCTCAGAAGTCATGCCAAGTCCTGCCTCGGAGATTAATAGCAGTTCCCTTCCTCCCCCTGCTCACTCCCCTCCCCCAGCCAATCCAGGAGATTGTGCACACAGAGGAGGCCAGTCAGCTAAGAGCAGGAAGCATTTCTGGGCAAGCGATAGTTGTACAATTTCTTTATTATCACTGTTGGTTTTAAGGGAAATGCAGGGATTATGGGTCATACTGCAGCCTGGAAGACTTTTGTTAAACTTTAAGGAAAATTGTGACAGTAATCAGATCATCTCTGCAGGGCTCCGGTGGCTCAAAGCCTATAATCCTAGCCACTCAGGAGGCTGAGATCTGAGAACTAAAGTTCAAAGACTTTGATCTCCAATTAACCACCACAGTCAGATATAAAGCTAGGGCTCAAGTGGTAGAGTACTAGTCTTGAGCAAAAGAAAAAAAAAAAAGCTAAGGAAGCTGGGAGCCGATTGGTTCACACCTGTAATCCTAGCTACTCAGGAGGCTGAGGGATCATGGTTCAAAGCCAGCCTCAGCAGGAAAATCCATGACACTCTTATCTCCAGTAAACCATTCAGAAATCCAGAAGTGCTGCTGTGGCTCAAGTGGGTAGAGCGCTTGCCTTGAGCTGAAGAGCACAGGGACAGCACCCAGACCCAGAAGTTCAAGCCCCACAATCGACAAAAACAAAAGCTAAGGGACGGCAGCCAGGCCCTGAGTTTTCGAGCCTCAGTACCAGAACAACAACAGAATCATATCATCCCAGGTCTAAAGAGTTTAACATAGAGCAGAAAATAAGTGGATTTAAGAGGGGTGTTATAGACGAGCCCTTAATTTATATTGATGTCCAGAACTTGTAAGTCTGTGGCTAAGAACACATAGGAAATACACGGTAGCCTGGGCTCCCACATGGACGTCTCTTGCCCTGGCTCCTCACCAATTGAAGTCAGACATCTTTGCTAAGTCAGCACTGAATAGGCCAGGTAGGTGTATAGAAAGAGAGAGGCCCCTGGGAAAGGCAGATGTGGCTGGCAGAGGCTTTTGTTATGGAAATCACAGCCTGTGCTCTGTGCATTCTGCTTGCACACAGAGTCGGAGGAGGCCAAAGCTGTTAGGAGCACCTTCTTTTGTGAAGACCAAGGTCGAGGTTCATCCCCTGGATCGTTCTGATCCTCTTAAAGAGAGAGGTTGGGTTTCAGCATGACCAAGAGCACACAGTACCCTCCAGATGCGCTTTGCTAATGAGTACTAACTCGGACAGACAGCAAGGCTGCGGCCACCTCGTGCTTTCCTGTTCCCCAGCCCTGTGGCTTTTTGCTGGTTTATTGGAGATAAAAGTCTCAGGAACTTTCCTGTCCAGGCTGGCTTCGACCTATGATCTTCAGATCTCAGCCTCCTGAGTAGCTAGAATATAGACATGAGCCACCAGCAGGCAGAAAACTGATCCTTTTTTTTTAGATGAGTGTCTTGGGGGAGCGATGGCTTCAACATCACGGTCCAGTTAGGACTGAGTCAAGTACATGCTGCTTCTCAATTCTTCCAGGGGTCCTGCCTGGAAATAGTCTTGGCAGCTTGTGAACCAAAGGTATACCCCGATTTCTGCAGAGTAGGCCATCTAGACCCTTCTGGGGCACGAGGCCCTGGGCAGGCACGTGGCTTCTGTGCCCCGTGACATTGTTTTCCTTCCCCTCGGGGCAGGCCAGGTGTGCGAAGCTCAGCCAAGGGCAGCTCCATTCTGCCCTGGTTGTCTCTCTTGGAAAGTGAGACGCTGGGCTTTCCTGGGTCAAGTTCACTCTTGGCAGGTGTGTGCAGTCGATGGAGACAGTGCCCGGCCAGTTGCTGAGGAACATGTCTGTTTGTCCTTCTCTACGCCAAGCACCTGCGGGCGGCACTGGGGCACCAAACCAGGCACGGGCAGTGACATCCTTCCTCTTGCCAGTCCCAGCCTGAGTCCTGGCAGAGCAGGAGGAAGGGAACTGTGAGCTGGCGAAGTCACTCGTGACTTTGTAATCAGTCGCTGTCCCTTCCTCCCCCCCTCCCCCGCCCCCCCACATGAGAGGAAACTATGTGAGGATCAGAGAAGAATAACACCATTGTTTCAGCTGGCTGCAGATCCAAAAGACAAAGAAGACTTGTCAGGACTCAGCGGGGGATCCTGTCCCTGGGCACTCTGTGGGCTGATGGTCCCCAGGGACCATCTGTTCTAGAAACTTCCATTGGTGGTTGGAATGAGCCCCTTGGCTTTGTTTCTTACCAAGCGGATGATGAAATACGTGGTCAGGTAGCTTTACCTGGCTGGTAGCCATTTTCATTGTCTTCCCCAGAAGCTCTGCCTACGAACTGCAAGTCCTCACTTCCCCTTCCATTCTAAAGTAACTAAAGCATTTCCCGCACGTCAAAAGTAACAGGCATCGGTAGGCATTGCCATCCTAGCTGCTCAGGAGGCTAAGATCTGAGCATCAGGCAGAAACAGTTGCAAGTCTCCAGTGAACCAACACAAAGCTACACGTGGAGTGCAGGGCCCTGAGTTCAAACCCCAGTACCAGCACACACAATAAAAAACGGACATGTCAGAGAGGGACAGGATCCTCTTGACCTTTGACCCTTGTCCCCATCCATGCATTTGGGCCCCAGTCTCCTGATCCTGCCTCCCCGTGCACCCCCCCCCTTGCCTCTTGTCACTCCTCTTAGTGTTCCTGTCTCCGTACCCGAGCCCTGCGGTCACTGCTGCCTCTCCTCCCTGGACAGTCCTCCCTCACCAACGCCTCCTGTCTTGGCAGTCCACCGCGTCCAGCCACACCAGCGCTGCCCTTGGACCCAGTGCATGGAGCTTGGAGGCACGCAAGCCTCGCTCACGCACACGTGAAAGCAGGCAGAGGAGTGGCACCAAAGTCACGGTGAGAAGTAACTAGAGGATTTGTGGCTCAGACGGGCCCCTTTTCCCTCTCTGCCTCTCTTGTCCAGACTGTAGGATACGACCCCATCATCTCTCCAGAAGTTTCGGCCTCCTTCGGCGTGATGCAGCTCCCTCTGGAGGAGATCTGGCCTCTCTGCGACTTCATCACGGTGCACACGCCTCTTCTGCCCTCCACCACCGGTAAGGGGTCTTTTCTGCGTGGGCCTGCTGCAGACGCTGGTGTCAGGCTGGGGAGAGGGTGTGCTCAGGTCCTGCACCCGGTGGGTGTAGGATGCCCACCGACCCACGTGGATGCTACCTAGGGCCCCACAAGGCTTGCTTTTATTTCTTAATTTTTTTGTACCGGTACTGGCTGAGACCTGCACTCGGGACCTCCATACTGTCCCTTATCTTTTTCTGGCTATTACTCTGCCACTTGAGCCACAGCTCCATTTGTGGCTTTTTGCTCACTTGTTGGAGATGAGAGTCTTACACAGTCTTTCCTGTCCAGACTGGTTTCAGATCTTGATCCTCAGATCTTAGCCTCCTAAGCAGCTAGGATGGCAGTTATGAACCACAGGCACCTGGTTTGGACCCACTTGGAGCATTGCCTCGCAACTTCTGATTTTGTTTTTTTTTTTTCTGTTGTTGTTGTTTGTTTGTTTTTAATTGGTTGTGGGGCTTGAACTCTGGGCCTGGGCGCTGTCCCTCAGCTCTTCAGCTCAAGGCAAGCGCTCTGCCACTTGAGCTACAGTGCCCCTTCTGGTTTTCTGGCAGTTTATTGGAGATAAGAGTCTCACGGACTTTCCTATGTGGGCTGGCTTTTAACTGTGATCCTCAGGTCTCAGCCGCCTGAGAGCTAGGATGACCAGTGCGAGCCACCAGCACACGGCTCTGGGGTGTTTTTAAACTTGAGTCTAGCCTCGGTGCAGACCCTCCGTGTTGACCCAGAGCACCTAGAGAGCAAGAGTGGAGAACAGAGGCATTTGTCCAGTGGGAAGAGGCCGTTGGGGAAGGAGGCTGCGGGCCTCCCTTGGGAGCTACTGCAGGCTCTAGGCACCATCACAGCAAGGGGCTGCCTTCCCTCCTCCAGGCTTACTGAACGACAGCACCTTCGCCCAGTGCAAAAGGGGCGTGCGCGTGGTGAACTGCGCCCGAGGCGGGATTGTGGACGAGGGCGCCCTGCTCCGGGCGCTGCAGTCCGGTCAGTGTGCAGGAGCCGCACTGGACGTGTTCACAGAAGTGAGTGCCTGCAGCCTCGGCATGGGGAGCGGGAGGCAGGGAGCGTGCTAGACTGCCAGCCTCGAGTGAAGAGGCCCAGAGTGCCAGGCCCTGAGCTCAAGCCCAGACCCTGACACCAAGGAGAAGAAAAGAAGTAGAAGAAACACTAGAGGGTGAGAGCCAAGGTGCTGTTAGCCGGTACAGAGTGTCTGCAAAGAGCAAGAGCAGCCAGGCACCGGCGGCTCCTCCACCTGTCATCTAAGCTAAGATCTGAGGGTCAGGGTTCAAAGCCAGTCTGAGCAGGAAAGTCTGTGAGACTCTTTTATCTCCAAGGGAGCACCAGAAAGTCAGAAGTGGAGCTGTGGCTCATCTGGTAGAGCACCAGCCTTGAGTGAAAAAGCTAAGGGAAGGCGCCCAAGCCCCTGAGTTCAAGCCCAAGTACTGGCACATAAAAAAATTAAAGAACAAGACAGCATGCCGAGTCCAGCCAGGGGGCACTAGACCACGCATGCAGGGTAGAGATGAGTTTCAGAGTAAATCCCAGCAACCATCAACAACAGCTGCCACTGGCTAGGAGTGTCCTGTTGCAGATGCACGCAGCCCACACTAGTGTTAGGATGTGGAGGACTTTAGCCCATTGCCTGCATAAGGAAACAGACCCAGGCCTGGGGAGATGGAGCTCTGGCCACCAGTGACGCTAGGAAGCCGGGCCCAGGGCAGCAAAGGAGGAAGGGAGGCCCTGCCTTCCTCTCTGGCTTCCCCAGTGTCCAGAAGTTTCTCTGCCCTGCCAGGAGCCGCCTCGGGACCGAGCGCTGGTGGACCACGAGAATGTCATCAGCTGTCCCCACCTGGGCGCCAGCACCAAGGAGGCCCAGAGCCGCTGTGGGGAGGAGATCGCCATGCAGTTCGTGGACATGGTGAAGGGGAAGTCCCTAGCGGGGGTGGTGAGTATCGTGGATGGGGGGGAGTCCGCTAAGGGGGGCAGGGAGCACTGCCCATGGCTTGGAGTGGAGACTCAAGCTTGTATTGTAGACTTGCCACAGAGATTGTGGCTGTTCCCAGGCCCAGCCTCTAGAGCGTCGCCTTTGTTGTCTTGAGACTGCAGGGGTATTGTTAATGGATTGCTAATTAACCACCTTCTCCCTCTTGATTAAGCTTCTGCAATTTTTTGTCTAAATTCTAAGTTCTCTCAGGATCTATATAGATAAATCTCTCTATATCTCTATATATCTATATATAGAGAGACAGACAGATCATATATATATCTATACATAGATAGATAGATAGATAGATCTATATACACACACAGGCACAGAAGCTATACATAAATGAGACTCCTGAATGGGACGGATACCTGGCTCCTGCTGAGCTGCAGAAACAAGCCAGCCTCTTCCTGTTGGCTGATGGAAGTTGACATCACCCAGAGCTCAGGGGTCCTGGGCCTCTTCCACACAGAGCTGGCTCTTGGCGACCAGGCCCTGATGCCATGAGGCTGCGGAGTGGGGCTCTCTCTTCCTGGCCTCACCCTGCCCCCCCCCGTCTTTTTCCCCAGGTGAATGCGCAGGCGCTTACCAGCGCCTTCTCCCCGCACACCAAGCCCTGGATTGGCCTGGCAGAAGCCCTGGGAACACTGCTGCGTGCCTGGGCCGGGTCTCCCAAGGGTACCATCCACGTGGTGACACAGGGTAAGGCTGGGTTTGGGTGGCCACCCAGCACTGCTGGGGGGCGCTGCAGAGGGAATGGGAGAAGGCCACGGATCCCTCCCTTCTGTGGGTCACAGAGCTAGAGTCACCTGACTCAGGTGACTTGAGCCTTGCTCTGAATGTAGTTCACATGCCGATTTGGGCAGAGGGCAAAGGATAGGATGGGGAAACATCACTTTCATGTTGATGTTTAATGCATAATGATTTTGTGCCAGGACTAGAGCTTGAACTCCCATCTCCCAATTTCACTGAGCTGTTTGGTTTAACGCTGGTGTTTGGCCACTACCATACCTCCCATTCAGTTTTCTGGTGGTTTACTGGCTCCAGTGTCCTGAGCGTCCTGCTCAGACTCAGGATTCCTCCAGCTGAGCCTGCGCACGGCAGGGGGATAGAAGGGGACAGATCACCCTGAGGATTGAGGAGGCCAGAGCTCCGGGCCCCTCTTCTCGGTACTCAGTGAGCTCAGGCCGGTTCTCTGCATCCCCAGGAGCAGCTCTAAAGAACGCTGGCAGTTGCCTGAGCCCTGCTGTCATGGTCGGCCTTCTGAAAGACCAGTCTAAGCAGGCGGATGTGAACTTGGTGAATGCCAAGCTGCTGGTCAAAGAGGCTGGCCTCAATGTGCGTATCATTCCCTCCCCCCCGCGCCCCAACCCTTCCCACTGGCACTGGCCCCCCATTTCCAGAGCCTGCCCACAGCCCCGCCCATCCTGCCTACCTGTGACAGGTAACCGTGGGCCGACTGCAAAATGGAGGTGCCACCCACCTTGGGCTGAGCTGAGTGCACGCATGCGCGCATGCATGCACACACACACACACACACACAGAGGTTTTGGCACCACATTTCACAGCTGAGGAGAAGCAGCCAGGCTGCGTTGGAATAGAAGTTTGGAGGGGCCCATTGGACTCAGCCTCCGGCTCCATACAGTGCTGCTTGTACCCTCACACCCAGTTGCAGTTTGGGGTTTTGTTTGATTGTGCCAATACTGGGCCTTGAACCGAAGGCTTTGCGCTCTCCCTTACCTTTTTGTGTTCAAGGCTGGCACTTTGCCACCTGAGCCGCACCTCCGCTTCCAGTTTTCGGCCGGAGAACTGGAGAGGAGTCTATGGCCTTTCCTGCCCAGGCTGGATTTGAACTGCGAGTCTCAGATCTCAGCCTCCTGAGTGGCAAGGATGGCAGGCATGAGCCACTGGCTCGTTGAGTCTCCAGCCAGCCTCGGGCCCTGTGTGTGGTTAGCTGCTCTGGGATGGGGGAAAGATGGAGGAGCCGAGATAACCAGCTCCGCCCTTCCAGGTGACCACGTCCCACACGCCCTCGGTGGCCGACGCACAGAGCGACGGGGAATGCCTTCTGATCGTGGCGCTGGCTGGGGCCCCCTACCAGGCTGTGGGCGCTGTCCAGGGCACCACGCCTGTGCTCCAGGCACTCAACGGAGCTGTCTTCAGGCCTGATGTGCCTCTCCGCCAGGGCCTGCCCCTGCTCCTGTTCCGGGCGCAGCCCTCCAACCCTGCCATGCTGCCCACCATGATCGGTGAGGAGAGCGGGGAGCTGGCCGGGTGGGGTCTTGCTCTTGTGTCAGGCCTGGCTTCCCCTATCCTCGTCACATCTCAGGCCTGTGTAGATCTGGACCACCCAGAGGCTGGGCCATACCAGTGTCCAGAACCCCTGGGGTGAGCACTGAGTTGGGAGGGGAGAGGTCCTAGGCTAGTCCATCACACCATGTGCCAAGGGCTCAGGGCCTCAGTATGACTGCCCTGCCCCTTCAAAGCTCTTCTGATCACACACACACAGGCCAGTTCTGTCCAAGTCTCCTGTGCACCTGTCGATCCTGGCAGTCAGCCCGCCGGGGTCCCTCCCTAAGCCTGATGACCAAGCTGTGCCTAAAGAGGCCACAGCAGAGGGGAGCTGGACAGACACCCCATCATGCCTTCCGTCTTTCTTAACACACACCACTGTCCCCCGTTTCAGCATCTGCTCTGTCGCTCCTTCCCCAGGTGCCCCTCCCCTCTCCCCCCCAACACACATTTCTTCTTTCAGGCCTCCTGGCACAGGCAGGCGTGCAGCTGCTCTCTTACCAGACCTCGGTGGCGTCCAGTGGGGAGACGTGGCATGCCATGGGCCTCTCCTCCCTGCTGCCCAGCCTGGACGCGTGGAAGCAGCACGTGTCTGAGGCCTTCCAGTTCTGCTTCTAGCCTTGGAGCTTACTGGTCCTCCCACTGATCCACAATCCTGGGCTGGACATGAGTACAACACTATCCCCAGAATAAAGAGCCTCCCTGGGTCTTTGTGGTGTCCTCATGCAGGGGAGCCGCCAGAGGGCGCCCGCGCACAGCAGTGGAACCTGGTTCGGGCGTCCAGCGGGGAGGGTGCTGTGGAGGGAGGTTGATCGACTCTGAGATGACCTGTGTGGTTATTAGAGGGTTTGCCCGTGAGCTATAGCATCAGGGTATCCCAGAGCCTTCCATGGGAAGGTGTGTATGCATATTAATGATGTGTGCTTGGGCAGAGCATACGGGGTTGGTGCTTTGCTTTTAAGGGAGTTTGAAGCCAACCCCTCCCACAGAGTGGACAGGGCCTGAGCCAGAAGCTGAGCAGGTGCTGCAGAAGGGTCATAGGAAGAAGCACTGGGAGCAGAGGATGGAGGTTTCAGGAGACGTTCAGTAGGATGTCTGTATAGAGACCTGGAAAGCTCAGCATGAGCTAGACAATATGGGTGTGTGTGTGTGTGTGTGTGTGTGTGTGTGTGTGTGTGTGTGTGTGTGTGTGTGTGTGTGTGTGTGTGTACCAGTACTCAGGACCTCATACTTCTGGATTTGGTGACTAATTGGAATTAAGAATCTCTTTGGGGGGGCTGGGAAGGTGGCTCAGTGGTAAAGTGCTTGCCTTACATGCCTGAGGCCCTGAGTTCAATTCCTCAGCAAAAAGAAAAAAAGCTGGAAGTGGCACTATGGCTCAAGTGGTAGAGCACTAGCCTTGAGCTGAAGAGCTGAGGGACAGCGCCCAGGCCCAGAGTTCAGGCCCCACGACTGGGCCAAAAAAAAAAAAAAAAGAATCTCTTGGGATTTCTTTGCCCACGCTGGTTTTGAACCGTGATCCTCAGATCTCAGCCTCCTGAGCAGCTAGGATGATATGTCAACCACTGTCACCTAGATATATGTGACTGTGAAAAAATGATTTTATGATAAATGACAAAACGACCCTCCTTCATTCAAAAGCATGGGCCTCTTGATTACTCCTATTAGGATCCAGGCCTGGCTTTCTACAGAAGGCACCAGACAGCCACTGACCAGCACTAAGGCCTCCTCCAAGGACAGAATTCCACATCAGCTCCCCAGCATCCACAGTGGCCTTGGTGTATGCTGTGGCCCAGCCATTGCAGACCTCAAAGGGACGAGCCTGCATGACTGGCTCTGGGCAGCTGCGTAATCACTAACGAGTAATTCTCCCAAACTCTACACAGCTGTGGGGACATGCCCAGGCTTCCCAGACCGGCATGAGGGCTGAGTGGATTCAAAGGGAATGTGTAGCCATGAGCTGTAATCCCAGCTATTTGGGAGGCTGAGATCTGAGGATCATGGTTCAAAGTCAGGCAGGGCTGGGTAGGAAAGTCCATAAGACTCTTCATCTCTAGTTAACCAGCAAAATGCCAAAAGTAGAGCTGTGGCTTAAGTGGTAGAGTGCCAGCCTTGAGCACAAAAACTCAGAGATAGTGCCAGGCCCTGAGTTCAAACCCCAGGACTGGCACTAAAAAAAGGTTGGGACTGTGACTTAGTGGTAGAGTGCTTGCCTAGCATGCATGAAGCCCTGAGTTCAATTCCTCAGAAGCACATACACAGAAAAAGCTGGAAGTGGTACAGTGGCTCCACAGGTAGAGTGCTAGACTTATGCAAAAGAAGCTCAGGGACAGTGCCCAGGCCCTGAGTTCAAGCCCCAGGACTGGCCAAAAAAAAAAAAAAAGCTAAGTGATACGTGGGACATGCCCAGGGCGCATGGTGACCTTGTGTTTCTCCGGTCGCGGGCTCTCGGTGGACGATCAGCCTCTGCGCTCCCCTCCCCCTGGCTGCCAGCCAGGTCTGGGTGCTGGGTGTCCTGACAACAAATGACCCATTTCCTCCAGTTGAAGACGCAGCTGTGCCTCACGTGGCATCTGCTGAGATCACCTGAGCGCGCTGATAGCTGGGGAGAAGGCCAAGGTGGGTGAAGTTCAACATTCACCTAAAAATGGAGCTCAAGCTGGGCATGTGATAGACGCCTAAATCCTGACAACTAGAGGGGACTAACATGGGCAAAGTTAGATTCTGTACCAGGTAACCCAAAGAAGAAAGGGGTTGGGCCAGGTGCTGGTGGTTCATGCCTATCAGAGCCAGCTAGAGCAGCAAAGTCCATCCAATTTTTAACCAGCAAAAGGCTAGATGTGGAGGTATTGATCAAGTGGCAGAGTATCAGCCTTGAGTGAAAAGGCTAAGCAAGAGTGCAAGGCCCTGAGTTCAAGTCCCCATGCCAACACATGCACACACACACACACACAAAGTTCACAAGAAATGTTAAGAAATAAGCAAAAAAAAGAACGGCATGAAGTTTAATAAAAATAACAAGCTGTAACAAATCATCAGGTATATCTGGAACTCAAGGGAGACCGCTTATCTGCGTTTGTGCAGGCCTTGTGTCTCTGTTCCCTTGCAAGGGAGTCCCCAACCCACAGCTATTGTGACGGAGCCTGGGCCACCGCAGGCTTGATTGGTGCAGTTACCAGGTAAGGGTGGGATTTTCAGCACGTGAACTGTGGACAGAGCTCAGCTAGCCTACCTCCCCCAGGACCTGCGCCAGCATCTGTGGAAAGTTAAGAGAGATGAAGATTTCCTTGTGAATCTCAGCCTGGTCCCCGGACTCCAGCCCCTGCTCCTCCCCGTGGTTCTGTGAATCGATCTCCCTGACGGTACCTAGATGTGGGGCCACCGGGTACTGGGAGAAACAAGGCCTGGTGTGGATGGGTTGCAGCCCCATCATGCGTCCTGTCTGGGACAGCACAGAGGCTCATGGGATCCTTTGAGATGGTGCATGGGCCCCACGACCTCTCTCCTTCCTTCCCCCTCCCCCACAGGCATGGCCAGCATCTCAGTGCAGGGGGCCACTCGTGGGGGATGCCAAGTAAGAAAGCTCTGGTCCCAGACTAACTGAGGCAGTTGCTGAGCTGTTAGTGGATACACAAAAGCAACGTGATAGACAGGAACTACATGTCTGCAGTTCTGAATAGTTGATTTTTTTTTTCATTAAGGAAATCCCACAAAGAATTCTTCCAGATGGATATCGGGCTCACTCCGGAAATCCTAGCTACTCGGGTGTGTGAGATCTGAGGATCATGATTCCATGCCAACCTAAGCAGGAAAGCCTATGAGACTTGTCTCCCATCAACCAGCAAAAGGCTAAAAATGGAAGTGTGGCTTGAGTGGTAGAGCACCAGCCTTGAATGAAAAGGCCGAGCAGTAGCACAAAGGCCCTGAGTTCAAGCCCCAGTACTGACACCCCAAAAAAGATTCCCGCCATTTCCCCTCCCACCCCAAACCTCTTCCACTAATGTTTCTCTCCATTCATCACCATTATGGCACACAGCTTTTATGAGGAAGAATCTTATGAGAATTGTCACCCGGCCCCCAATCACAAGCCTCACTCCAGTGAGGGGCTTCTTGCTCAAATGGACGCCACAGCCCCTTGCTTCCTTGAAAATCTCACATGCATGCACACATCTGCATATGCTTTTCTGAAGCTGATTGTCTATCAGAATTCACAACCTCGGTCTCATCGCTTTGGGGCTCTGAGTGCCTCCTATCGCTGCAATTCTCTTCCCTTCTTTTGGAGAGGAGGGTAGGCCTATGGATTGAACTCAGGGATTGGGCGCTGTCCCTTTGCTTTTTATGCTCAAGACGGACACTTTGCCACTTGAGCCACAGCTCCACTTCCGGCTTTTTGTTGGTTAATCGAAGATAAGAGCCTTCGGGCTTTCCTACCCAGGCCGGCTTTGAACTGCAATCCTCCTATTTCAGGATTACAGGTGTGAGCCACTGGCACCTGGCTCTCTTCTGTTATTTTGAAGGCTATGGGTCCCACCTGGCTCAGGTGGAGTCAGGTGCCCCGGGAAGGCGTTCAGCCGCCCGGACTCACCAGCTTCACATAGGTCGCCGGGCGTACTTCCGACGGTGCATCTCATCCACCCGCTCCAGGTACCACGTGCCTGGGAAGAGGCTGCTGACGTCACCAGGGGGTGAGAAGTTCACTGTGGAATGAGGAAGAGAGGGACAGCAGTCACGCAGGGCCACACGGGCTTGGGGAAGAGAACAACAGGAAGTCTGCTATGGCTGTCAGGGCCTGCAAGATCACCACAAGACATCAGATGCACAAGAACCCGAAACAAAGCCATCCTGGCTCTGGTACTTTGTGTCACCAGAATTGTATTTGTGTGTGTGTGTGTGTGTGTGGTTTGTTGCTGCTGCTGCTACTACTGGGGCTTGAACACAAGGCTTGATGATCTTGTTTGGGTTTTTTGGCCCTCTACCACTTGAGCCACAGCTCCACTTCCTGCTTTTTACTGGTTAAGCAGAAACAAGTCTCTTGGATATATCTGTCTGGCCTGGTGTAAAACCCCAATCCTCAGAGCTCAGCCTTCTAAGTAGCTAGGATTACAGGCATGCACCATGGGCACCAGCTCCGCTCAGGCCTAGATCTGGGTCATCAGCCCTAAAGTCTGGCCGATTTCTAGCGGCATTTTCTTTTTCTTAGGTTTTATTCTTTCTGTGTTGGTCCTGGAGCTTGAACTCAGATCCTCAGGCTCTCGCAAGGCTTTCTCACTCATAGCGAGAAGCCATGCCTCCAGCTCCAGCCTTTGGGGGGTTAATTGAAGACAAGAGACAAGAATGTCACAAATTTGGCTGTCTTCAGCTTCTTTTGCTTTTTTCTTTTTCTTTTTTTTTTTTTTTTTTTGGTCTTGTGGCTTGAATTCTGGGCCTGGACACTGTCCCTCAGCTCTTCAGCTGAAGGAGAGCTTAAGCCACAGTGCCACTTCTGGTTTTCTGTGTGGTTTCCTGGAGATAAGAGTCTCACAGAGTTTCCTGCCAGAACTGGCTTTGAACCATTATCCTCCGATCTCAGTCTCCTGATCAGAATCACAGATGTGAGCCACTGGAGTTAAGCAGAAACAAGCATGGAGTGGGGGCTGCTTCCCACTGCCCCTTCCCAGCTCTGCTTCTGCTCAAACACAGCTTTCCCTCCATTCATCGACAGTCACCTCT